ATGAAATTAAATTTCAGTGCCTAAATTATTTTCCCACTTAATTTTTCGTCTGCAAATACCAATCGTAAGCACGGACAAGACACTTGGCCAAAATACCTGTCGTAGCCACATGATCATCTGAATTTCCCAGCGTTTTAGTGCTGTCCAAACCGTCACCGTCACTAAAAGAAATCAGCTGCAAGTCTTGTGAAGAACAATGGTTTACCTGTTACTGATGGACGATAATTCCTGCTATTAACGGACGATGGATTAAGATTTTAGCACTTATGTTTGGGCTTTATTTTGAGTAGTTTCAAATAATAATTTTCTTTGTTACAAAACTTTTAAATTATTAAGACGACTTTAAGGAAGGTAGTACTGAGGTTGACCTGATTTCTCATGATTCTCTCTCAAATTAAATTTTTGAGGCGCCTGATGCTTACCAAAAGCTCATCAGTATCTCTAACATCAATGAAGTTATTAGAATTTAATATGTAGAGATTATTAGTTTTGGAAGATCTTGCAGACAACAGTTCCTATAAAAGTACTGCTGAGGGAATATCTTATACTAAACGTCTACAAATTGTTTAATTCTATAATTATGAAGTGGAATTTATAATAAATATAAAAAACTCCATTGTCCGATTCCCTCGGTATATAAGGAACTTTCGATTCGTCGTTTGCAGGTATGTGTTCTATAATGACAATGATAACTGTATCATGGCCTTTGAGTGGTAAAACAAAGTTGTTTATTTCTGACGAAATTCAAAAGCCTCAGCCGATTTTATTCCTTGAAGCATTTAACTTCTCCCAGTAAGAAAGGATGACTCATAGTTTAAAGATATCGACAATTTCTCTTCTTCTTCATAAGCGTGAGCTCCGCTTACGCGATTATAGCTAAATCGACATTAGTGTAACGGCTATTACTTTCCTCCCCTGGTTAGAAATACCACCAGAAACCAGGTCACTATCTATTTGATTTTTCCAACGTAGTGGAGGTCTTTCTCTTCCTCTGGCTCCACCAACATTAACTGCGTAGAATCATATAAATGTACATTTTCTTTCATTTAAATACGAAACTTATTTCGCAGCGGCTATTTTCCTTCCTCTTAAGGCCTTGAAAATAACTTTTCCTCACTCCGAGCACACTGTACATCGACGCAATAACGCTTATCACCCTGCGAGAGACTAAGATAGCTAGCTATCACGGACACCTTCTTCACACTACTGCTCGCCTACTGCTGCGATAGTGTTCGAAAGAAACAGGTTGATTTGTGCCGTTGAGTACAAACGAGCAGCGGCGGCACGCCATCCATCGTTCGCGCACACTGCAAACGCGTGTGGCTAACGTCTGGCAGACCGCATTCATACGCTCGCTCGCTCGCCGTCATGTGCCGTGCCGTACCGTGTTGCTGGCGTGGCGTGTGTGCGCGTCGAGTGATGGCAGTGTGTGACAACAATGACTGTTCTTGAACATCACGTTTCGAATTGCAGTTGTCGTCGTCGACGACACGCGGATAAAACAAGTCCGCAAACGCTGAACATTTTATTGGGCTCACAGAAATGTGATGGAGGCAATTATCGTTGGTGTGTGCAAAGCGCGCAGACAAACAGTTTGTATTAATGGAGAATTATGAATACACCAGCCGGTTTGGATGTGTATCTCATTATATTGGCACCGCCCACTCGCTATTGGTAGATAGAGATGAACGTATGTGTGTTATGCGCGCGCTTAGTTTGCTTATCCGACTTCGTAGTAATAAAATCTTCCGATTCGTCAGACTTTCGCAGTTGCTTGCGATATGTCTTTGGGTGCCTGGTGCTTAGTGTCATATTTCGCACAGAATTCGGACTTTTTGGTTGCGCCGGCAAGTCCGCGTATGCGCTCATCGCGTTGTACGCCGTTAAGATGGCGGGCGGCGCGTGGTTGTCTCCAAAAATTCAAGATGCATTTCATATTGATGATGCACTTCCACAATGAACGCCGTCAGCCAGCAAGCGACTATTTCAAGCGAAGAGACGGTGTGCTCGCTTTTCGTTCGAAGCAACAACAACGAATATTTCATTTCCCAGCGGCGACGTTTGCATTCACCACAATTTTATTTGCCGGGCTCTTAGGAGAAACACCGTTCGTTTGTATTGTCGCCGCAGCTGCGTTCCAATGCAGCAGCATTTTAGCCGGCATGGGCCAACACATTCTGCCGATCACCGTTCAAATTTTGTACAAGCGACACCGTTGTTGTTAGCCACTTTTCAGTTCAACTTCAACTACGGTCGCTGCAAACTGTAGGTGTGTGTGTATGTATATACTCTGTGATGTGTATATCTGTCGCATCTTCTCTACAGCGTTTCTACATCTGTTTTCCTTACCTACCTGGCAGTGTGGTCGAGCGAATAATTGTGGTGAGATGTTCCGCGTGGCTGGCCGGCCGGCCGAATAGGTCTGCTGTTGTTTGTCGCCGGTGGCTGTTGTCTGCTGACGACGACAGCAGCAACCAATCGGCAAAGCCAAAAACCGCATTTCAGCCGTCGAGCACGTCTATTGTTCCACATGGTAACAGGCGACCAGCGTTCGCAGTAAGTGGGCACACAACATTTCTTTGTTCGATGTTTCGTTTGGAATCGTTGGGAATTTTCGTTCAGCCAATGCGGGTTGGATGGTGCACACATACATAGAGATTGCCGCGTATAATGTTTGTGAATAAGTGTACGAGCACCGGAGGAAATACAGTGTGCACGGAAAAATTGAGACGGCGGCATTTGAAAATATTTCATATGCAAATAAATGTACATAAATATATAAATATACGTATATCAGTATGTTTACTGGAGGGATAGAATGCTGTAACGAGAAGAGTCTAGGAGCCTGAGAACAAATTGCACTGTGTCCGTTAACTCCTTATGCCATTTGGGATTTATGGGTTTCTAGTGGTACTTTATCAGAGACAGAGACTCTGGAAAGGAAGACTAGTGGAGGGAATGCAAAGCTAGCAACCATTACGAGAAATAGTTGGTTGGAAGAAACGGGATTACCTACCCACGGCAACAGCAATAAGGGTCTCATATTTCTTTCAGTCTAAGGTGATATTATCTGTGTAAATATAATATTTTAGTGGTTACCCTAAGCCTCGTTGTAGAAGTTTTTAACTTTATTCACCGGACTTAAGAAGGTTACACCGCTGAAAGGCTAGTAGATCTAAGTCAGCCTCGGTGCCTAGAAACCCGGAGGTAGGCGATTGCAAAAAAGAAACCAAGAATAGAAAATGCTTTTTGGCTGGCTTGAGCTTCAACTGATGACCACTCAGCTCGTTGTTGTTATTATAGCTCAACCCGTTTGGGAGCTGGCAAAGTTATTCAATGTCGTTGCGGTTCTCTAACGGCGGTTCAAAAAATGGTTCAATGCTAGTAGATATGGCTTACACAGCATAACATTGTGACAAGCTTCATGTGGTTTTCCGTGGTCATTGGTTCCTGATGTCCGAAACGGTGCAGCGTAATTTATGTTCTGCCAGCCAATTTACTTGTATGTTGCGGGCAATGTTTCTTTGTCTTCGTCCCAGGTGTTGCCGGCTATTATCTTGAGGATATTGCTATGGATCTGTACTATGGCCGCAATCGCAGTCTTAGACGTAGTGAAGGAGGGCATGCTTTGACTCCCCGTAATTTTGGCAACGTCGATTTTCACATGCAGTCTGAACGGGTACTCCGTAGTTCAGTTCGCGGAGAAGGTAATCGTGGATTTCGCTGGCTTTAGTCGTAAAGTCGCTGTCGTTATGTAAAGATGTAGGAAAGTTCGGAGTGATAGCAGATGCTAATATCGTGCAGTCTTTGACAGATGAGATCAAGGAAACGTCCCGTGTCGGCGGAGGGAACTTCGAAATATAGAAGTTAAACAAAAAATGTGAAGCTGCACCAAACTTCATGAGTTTTGAGTTTTAATGACTACTGACCACACAGTTCATTCATCACGGATCACTTATAGCATAACTTACCTTGCCAAAAGGCATTTTACAGAAGAAGTGCCAGAAGAACAGTTCGAGTGGAGGTTAGATTTTGGTTGAAGTCGTGAACTATCAGGGTGCTTATGGGATGGAGATAAGTACGGAAGGCTCTGGTAGTGGGCGAAAATCGAAAATGCAAGGTTTCAAATTTCTTCCTTACCGGGGGAAAGAGGGATAACGGTCTACACATTTCTCCTGTAGGGCTGGTTTCCCTACCTTTGGAACTACTTTATTCGGGTTCAACAGTTTGGGCATTATTAGAGTGGTCAAAGGCGGATTGAGGATCTTGATGAGAAATTCTCTTCCGCTGGACGCAGATGTTGTAGCATCATCATGCTTACTTGTCGGGGTACATGAACTTTGATGGCTTTTGTCTTCCTGATATCCTCCTGAACCTCCCCTTTGGAGAAATAGAGCGACGCGCTGTTGACAGCCGGCTAAAATAGCTCGAAGACGTCTACGAAGCGTGATCAATGGACGAACATTCCACTCGGTTCAAGCGGATTGAAGGATACCAGGAGCCGACTTTGTATAAACAGTCACACTTTAATGGTAGATCCACCGGCTTAGTCACTCCTGCTTGCTAGTTCAAGAGTTTCCCCGCTGTAAGGTATGCCTGTCGCAAGAGGCGATAAAAATCCAATAGTTTACGCGATAGTCGGGCGAAACGAACCGGATTTTTATCCGGCCAAGTACTGTCACTCCTGCAACATCACTTAAAAACTGCTTTGGGGAATATTTTTGCAGTTACAATAGCTACATTATCCGCCGCTTTAGTTGGAATATTCGGACTGAGCACTCAAATTCGACCGGATGGGTGTTAATGAGAGACTCTGAAGGCGTTCTGAGCAAATTCATCTGTCAACTCTTCACGCAACTCAACTCTTCTAACAAAATTTTTCACCTTTTTTTTACTTTTTAAATTAAGAATCCATTTTCTTTTGCAAATTTTTAAAGTTAAAGAATCAACTCGCCTCCTTACTCCGCCCTCTGAGGCAACAAATCGAAAAGTCCAGTTGATTTGGGTTACTCTCCCTCAAACTTTATTAATACTCTTTTTCCGTCTGGTCAAATTTAATAAACTAAAATTACCGTTACTGTCAGCGCTTAACAATTAAGTTTTCACACATACTATATTTACTTTTTATTCCAAATTCTTTATATATATATATTTGTATGTATATATAGAGATGTAAATAATTTTTACATATAAATCTACTAATAATCATTTTGTGTTAAAAAATGTTTTTTACCACTGTCGGAATTAAAGAGAGAGGGACTGGGTATAGAGAAAGGATACATTAGTATGTATTATATTCGGAAAGGAAATTAAAAAGTCCAGTACTTTACTAAAATATATGTACGAATGGAAAATGATAAGTACGTTAAATAGTAAAGGAAAACGTATGCATAGTTGTTGTAAATAATTACTTAAAATATATGAAAATACCAAAAGACAAATAAATTAAATAACAATTCAGTATTGCAGTGTTTATATATATGTATCTATGAATGCATACAGATCGGAGCAATAATATGACACGTCCCATACTATTATTCGTATGTATGTATGTTTGTATGCCTGTCTATGTATCTGTTTGTGTATGTGTTCCAGCATAATATGCTAATCGCTGTGCCCGATTTTGCTCTCTTTTCTTTACATTTGCGTATACATATTTGCTTTGATTTCTTCACATTTTTTTTTTTTGTTTTTTTTTTTTGGAAACATTCCGTTTGCTTTAGTAGCTCGGTTTTTGCATATCTAATGCAAATTTATAAAAGTTTTTCTTATTTTTTTTTTCACATTACATTATTCTATGAAATCCGATCAAATGTTGATCGCTGATTGTTTATGAAGGGTCTGTTGTTTTTGTTGCTTGTTGTTACTGTTGTTGTAGTTTATGTATAAAATATTGCTATGAATATTACGCCTCTAGGTCATTCACAAAAAGTACCTCGCGATGCTTTAGACCAGCTTCAGCTAATGTTGTTACATTGCAATTGCCATTAATGGCGTCGTTATTAATAAATGTACTGGCGTAGAGGACACGTTTTGGAAAATTCGTTGTTATTTCGAATTCATCTGGTGACGACGGGTGACAGAAGAGATAGTTATACACATCCTATTCAACGAAATAAAAAAATATTTTAATATACACTAATATTTAATAGCGATTACTCCAACTTACTATTAACGAATGTGAATTGAGAAAACGTCGCTCGAGACGTGCGCCGTTTGGCAGTTTAAATACAACACTTATGACATCCGACGCGCCAGCTGGTGGCTCGTTTGGTACCTTCTCAGCTAATTCAATTTTTAGTTGAGCAATTTCCTGTAGATTTTCACACATTAGTTTAATATTTCACATAAAAATATATTTAGCATATTTAGCATTAATTAAATAAAAATATTTGTCGAAATAATATTCCGTTATAACAACACTTTTTTAATTTCATTCACTTTCACGTACCTCTTTTTTGCGTTCCTCCTCAGCGCGCTCGCGTTCAATAGCCTCTTGTGCTTCTCGCTCTGCATCGCGTTCCAACTGACGCAGACGCTCCTTTTCTTCATCGGCACGTAAACTTAACCGATAGGCTTCGTCTTGCTGTTGACGCAAGGTCTGTGTTAGATTACGTTCCAAACGATCAGCGCGTGCTTGACTTAACCATATTTCATTTGCTGAGATCACTGTTTGCATGCGACGAATCAGCTCTTCGGGCATACAATCACCTTCAAAGCGTCCAACAACAACCATACGGTTGTTACGTAACGTTATCAACATCATAGTCGGATAGGTATTTACATTTAATGTATGAGATACTCTATAACCTTCTGGTGAGGATACATCACAGCCCCAGAAAAGCATATTACGATTAATATAATCAATCACTGATTGATCCGAAAGTGTAGTACGACATAGGGACTCCACATCGGGATTATTTGTTGGGTCCTTATGTAGATAAATGAGTAGGAAGCGTAGCTCCTGTTTAGCATCATTTAAAGCTTGCGCATATGTACCCTGATAAAAGACTGGATGTACGGGATAACGTTCATTGTAAGAACGTATGAAACTCATGACATCTCCCACTGGATCCGTGACTACTATTGAAAAAAATTAAAAAAAAAAAATTTTGTAAATATGATAATGATAGTTTTATAAATATACATACTTCTCTCGTCATTACGACCCATATTAAGTAAAGTACTTAGTACACTGGCGAATGTTGAGTAGCAGTATTGAAATACCATATTGATGACATAGCCGATGATACCTGTAATACTTCGTGGTACGGGTCCCAATCCACCACGCGCTGATCTTCCACCTGGCATAGTTGCCGAGAATACTTGTTGCAAAAAACGATCGTCGAGTACAGCGGGTGCACGTACATCTCTAGAGGCGGCATATGTCGTTGGAATGCCTTCACGAATATTCATTTGTTCCTGGAACGCAATCTCCAGGTCCCACTGATGTCTTATCAAAACATCACGACATATATTCATATCCTCTATGCCTGTTATATCTTGGAACTGTAGAACCTTTTCGGTTTGTTCATTTGTCATGCCGTCCTCCATGTCTATGTGTTTTATATTTCTGTTTAATGGCTCGTAGTGCAGAAATGTAACAAATCAAAGTAGATGATTTGTGGTTTGTTGTTCGTGTAATTCTATGGACGGTACAAAGAACGGAGGCCTTGCCGTCGTTGTTGTTATTTTAGCTACTACGGAAAACTCGTATTCCCTTGGCGATATGACACACTGCAGTATTTGCATTCCCAAATTATATATGACCTACCAAGTTTTTGGTCGCACTACTTTTTGAGTGATTTAATAAAAGTATTGTAGAAAACTACACGTTTATATTAATGCTTTGTTTTTCCAGAAAAACCTTTGCAATCTTCGAATAATAAAACAAAACTGATGTGACAGACGACAAAATCGTATTTTACGATGAATTCTCCTTTTTCTATGACTTTTTTTTATAGTGACAGTAGTAAGCGCAGTGTTGCCAAATAGTTCTTAGTTGACCAGCACAGTGTTGTATTTAAGATAAAGGTTGTACGAGTTGTGTTGTTTAAATTTTTGTGCAAGTAATTAGCGAAACAAAAACTGTGCTTGAATTATGAGAAGCAAAATTATAATTTTAAATTTAGTGGTATTTTAACGGGTTTGCTTTGTAAAATATAAAATTAAATAGTTGAAGAGAGATTTTACTTGCGATTTGAAATAACTAAATGTATTTAAATTAATTAAGTTTGGTAAAAAAATTTTAATTATACTGCTTTGATATATAAATTTACTTTTCTCTGAAGGCCCAAACGATTTCCTTGCAAACTTTTTCAAAAGTTTTTTTTTATATATTAAAAAATAATTTAAATTCTTTGAGGTACTCCCGTCAATTTGTAATGGTTTGGTCTTCCAGTGTATTTCTGATATGAAATAAAGAAGCTCTTTATGAAGGATCAGAATTAAGTGGAGGCCATTTTTTCAAGACGATACAAATACATATACATATTCTATTATATATATCAGTCAATCTTTTACTTTTAACTAACGTGAACTATTCCATTCGCAATATTTCTGTGAGATTGAAGCAAATAACTTATTCAAAATCAGCAAACTTACTTATAATATATGATACAAAAGCAAAATAGTTTCACTCAAAATTTGTTTCAAAAATAATTATGATATGATAAAAAAAGTTTTTTGACTTATGCTTTACTTTGTGCTACCTATTTCAGGTATTTAAAAAATTATTTTCAACTTTCTACAGTTAAGAAGATGCAAAACCTTTCAATGTAAAAAACATAATAAAAAAATTAAACGTTCTCTCAAAGAACTCAAATGCTTTGCATTGTATTTTCTAAAATCTAATTGAAATAAAATTACTTTCAAGAGGCTTAGCATTTTTTTATAAAATATATATAATTTTATATTGAGTGAATCTATCTTCTTATTTTTGTATCATGATATATTCTATTGTTAGAAAAAATATAAATATGTGTGATCGTTTCCCGAACCGCAACATCGTTCGCACGCTGTGGGCACACCTTAAGGTCATTTTTATTTTGACATGGCAGCACTGCTAGTAATGCACAAATTCATTGACATTTCCTAGAAAATATTTATTTACCTGCGTAAACAAAAGGATATCTTTACAATTATCTTCAAATACACATAATCTTGCACTACCTGCTCAATAAAGATAAAAAGCAATAACAACAATAACTTAAGTTTTTTACAACAATAACAAAATGTCGTATTTACTAAATTTTAGCAATGATACTGCCAAGCAAATACTTATAGAAATTATACGCACTGTGAATCAGCCGGAGAACTCCAAAAAGTTGTCGGAGGCAAAAGCCTCCGCAGGCAAAGAAATGTTGTTAATGATGCAGCATGTTTTTCCACTTGTTATGCAATTACAAACAGATGTAATCAAAACTTATGGTTTTCCAGGTAACCGAGAGGGATTAGTGCAATTTTCTCAGCTAGTACGTGAAATGGAACGTGAGGATGTGGAAATCGCCCGTCTGCGTAGCCAGATAAGAGCCATATATTTGCCACCCATAGCTATAAATACCACAAACGATATATTGATTTGAGAAAAAGTTAACATAGAAAATTAAGACTGAAAGCAAAAAATGTATTAGTAATATTAAAGGGCCACCTAAGGAGCGACAGGCACTACAAAGCATTTATCTAAAAATACGCCTACTAAATTATCTTACAATTACATACATATGTATATACAAAAGATATTCAATTCCATAAATATACGATAGGTTTTTGTAAGCTATTTTGCATCAGATAATTTGCATGGGAACCTGTTAAAAATTGGTGAAACAAAAAGTCATATATATATATCATATATATCGCTATTGTGCATTTTTTGTAACATACTTTGCACAAAACCGCAATAGTATTAAATATATTTCGTTTATTATCAATTAAAATGAAACTTTTTTAATTTTCTGTAATATCAGACGGTTACATTAGAGGGAGGTGTTAAGCGATTCCTTTTGTGCATTTTGGATGTTGAGGGTTAAAGAATTCTACTGCTATACTTCGGGTAGGTGCTATAAGATTAAGTAATTCATGTGTTTGGAGAGCATATATGTATGCGCTATTATTTGGAATAATAATCTAAATGGTTGGGGATACACTTTCCATCGACAAGAGCGTTACGAAAATTTTTGGTAGGTGAGTTACATTTTATATCTGTTGTTGCAAAAAATTTATTATCAATCAAGTCATTCTGTTAGAAATTAGGTATATTTTTCCGAACGTGGCTTCGATCAGGGCCGACGAGACGGAATTTTGACTGCGGGGCAGCGTATTTTATGACCTAACAGTCTGTTGGATTCTTACTCTGCTACCTTTTCGGGTTCCAAGTAAAACACGCTTGCTTCTATGCAATTCCGTATAATAAGTATAAGTGTTTATTCAACAGTTAGAAATGAAGGACTGACTGAATGTTCTCGGTTTCAGTTATTTCAAAAACATTACAGGGTTGCATAATATGTTAGTTNTTCGAACTGCTATACGGACGCTGACTGCATTTACTGGACATACACAATGCACAGTTAACACCAGCTGGAACATTTACTGACAATCCGAACACCATCTTCTTGTTGCTCAGCTCACGCAGACTTCCAAAGTTTAGATGGCCAAACCTATTGTGCCACTTCATCACGTCATCAGTTGTTTTCCTCGATAAATATAGCTTATATTTATTTGCTTGAAATATATATAAATCACTGACCTTTTCTGCACTCAAAATAATTCCTCCGTGCTCGTCAATGATTTTCGCCGAATTGCCCCTGAATTGAACAATATAACCGCTGTTGACTGCTCTGGCAACTGAGATAAAGTTGCACTGTAAGCCCGGTACGAACAAAACATCTACCAGTGTCACATTGAATTTATCTGTCGTTAATCGAACAACTCCTCTGCCTTTCGCTAATATTTTGTGATCTGCAGCAAGCATAATTGACTCCTCACATTGTTCGAACTCATCAAACATGTTGCGGTTGCAACATAAATGCGAAGAAGCACCACTGTCAACGCACCAAGCATTGGCATGCAACACGCTGTTGCTAACTGCTGCGAACAATCCGTTCATCTTAAAATCATTATTCGTAGAATATTCTCGTTCCTTTTCTTTACATTGTGCGGCAAAATGCCCTTTTTTACCACAACTATAACATCGCAGGTTTGATCGTTTGCTTTTCTCATTATTTTTGCTTACGATATTAGCAGCGTCGTTTGACTTTACGTTTTCGTTCTTGTTCTTTCTTGCGCTTGTGTTCGATTGTGCTACAAAAGCTTGAACACTACTTTCGCCATTTTCAAACTGACTAGTTTTACGCCGCTCACCTTCTTCCATTAACTTTATCTTAACTGCATTAAGATTCGGTAACTCATCTCTTGATTCCAAAGCTACTACCAAGCTTTCAAAAGATTTTGGCAAACTTGCAAGAAGCATAATTACGATTAAATCATCTTGAAGACACACTCCAATTTCTGCTAACTTCTCTGCAACCGATGTGAACTTACAAACATATTGTTGAACACACTCGCCGTTACTCATTCGAATTCCAAGCAACTGCTTGAACAAAGTAACTTTTCTTACTGGCCCTTTTGGTCGATGTACCTCACGAAGAGTTTTCCATGCCTCATTAGCCGACTTACAATTTCTTACATGGCTTAACTGCATAGGCGTTACACTTAGGAATATTGTTGCTTTTGCTTTGTCATCTTTTGCTTTCCAAAATCGTACAGACTTCTCTTCTGCGCCTTATTCTGGATGCGGCCACTCTCCACACGTAACCGTCCATAGTTCTTGATGTACCAGCACACTCTGCAACTGCAAGCTCCACGAGTCATAATTGGATTCATCCAATTTCTCGATGTTGAACAACGGAGAACTCATTTCCACAACACTTATTCAATTTACTTTACTTGGACCCCAGGAATTTGTACCTGGGCCCATAACCTGTTGGATTCTTACTCTGCTACCTTTTCGGGTTCCAAGTAAAACACGCTTGCTTCTATGCAATTCCGTATAATAAGTATAAGTGTTTATTCAACAGTTAGAAATGAAGGACTGACTGAATGTTCTCGGTTTCAGTTATTTCAAAAACATTACAGGGTTGCATAATATGTTAGTTGCTAATAGGGTTACATTTCAACACAGTCTATTGCCTTCTAAGTAAGGTGCTTCCGTATATCGTAACCCCGATTTTGTGTTTGTTGTGACAGCAAAAATATTTTCCAAACATGTTTTTGAAGAATATAGTTGATGCTTTATAGCAGCCGAAGCTATTTACACCCCAGCTGCTCCTCAATCTTTATGGTTTTCCAAAAACCGGAACACTTATGGTCTTATTTAAGCCGAGTACAGATGGCTAATGGGTTTTTATGAGGAACTTTTAAGTCTTACATACTCCCGGAGAGTTACACCTTCTCTGTCGAGGGGCGAACGGGAATTCTAAAAACTAGTTTAAAATTAGTTTTTTGTAATTCTGGTTGTTGTTCGACCCAGCACTTGACCTTCGACATTATATTAAGCACTGCCAACCATTCGGTTATTTCGTTACATCCTATCCTTTGTTGGATAAAAATCCAGCTCGTTCCAGTTGCGGGAGCTACTGTAATTTAGTGTTGTTTTTATAGTGGTTCGATAACCCCGCTTAGAAGCAGACTAGATCTGTAGTCTAAGTCATCAAGGTCATCTATCGGTGGGTTCAGGAAACGACCTGTTTCGACGCGTTCGGTGCAGAGGGAAGGGGTTGTTAAATGAGTTGGTATTAGGGGACATGAGAACAGGTGGTTAGCGGGGACTCATTGCATCCAGACGCATTTGTGTGCTTAAGGACTGAGCAGGATTTAAGTTCACTCCAATCATTGCATCTAACAGAAATGGAGGAATGATGGAGACATATGAGGCATACGCAGCAGTATAAAACCAGGCTCGGGTTCGACGCAAGTCCTGATGAGAAGGTTTTGAAGCATCTCAACTACGATGTTTTGCTCCGTTGATGTGCTTAAACCAGTGTTCCCTGTTGCCCTAAGTGAGGTTATGTTGCCGAAAGACGGACAGCCCTTGGTTGGATAAAATCTCCAGAGCCGGCTGGAGTGAGAGTCGACAGCATTTTAGTCACCAGGCATGGTTGAGGTAAATTCTTGAACTTCTAACAATTATCTCCCCGATTTAACAGCTTTGAGGGATGTCTCGTCTATGACTACAACTTAAGCCTTTCCAAAAGAGTAGATTTTCGAAATTCCCGGCTGTTGATTTTTCGAAAAAAAGTTTCTTACTCTACCTTTAGAGCCATTTCCCATTCTATAATAAGAAGAAGAATTTAATGTTCTTTAAGGAGAAGCAATGCGAAAGGAACTCCTTTCGGAACAACTGACTTTACCACGCAACACAACCGCTGTCGGCCAGCGGCCAGCGGCAGCCCACATAATCAATGAATCTTGTCTCATACGGAAAGTTCCCATTTGACATTCGCTTTGTGTCGCACTGACTGACATACACAAGTCATTGGAAATGCGTGCGTGCGTCGACTATCATTATCGCCAGCGCATTAACGTATGTATATATGTATGTATGTATGTAGGGAAGGGCCGCCGCTGGCATGCAAATACTTAAAGTCTACTTGTGATTGTAGTGACAATCGAACAAAAATAATATTTTATGCCTTTGTATGCGGGTGAGTTGAGTGCTAGGGACATGCATGCGCACACACATGCATACATACATACATACGTAGTGTATATACATGGGAGTCTACGAGTATATATGATAACAGGATATTTGCTGCAAAGGATATTCAGCGGCAGGACTATGTCGTGCGTTGGCATTACGTTTCATTTCAGCGGCGTTTGTGACATGGAAAAGCCATTAACGGTGTTGAGAACAAAAAAAAAAAAACAAAAAAACAAAAAAACAAATTAAAACCAAAAGAAAATGAACCTGAAAGTATGCAAAGGAAAAGTCAGCAAACAAATACACAAACATATGTGCATATGTAGGCATGTGTGTTCATGTATGCATGTATGTATGCATGTATGTATGTGTGCAAATAATGCTCATATTCAAATACAAATGGAAAAACCTGTCACAGCAACAACAACAGCGTAATAATTTCCTTTGCCATATGAATGTACTTACGTATAACGGATTTATTTACACACACGCACACACATACACATGCACGAGCATGTGTTTTCGCATGTGAGCACCACTGTGTTTGTTAACGACCACATTTCCTTAATTCAGCTGGGACAGTCTCGACATTATCGCTCGTGTTTGTGTGCTCTTCTTTTTCCTCCATTTCTACTTTCTTCTCTCATTCCTCAGCTTTCTGCGCCGCCACTCATTATTGGAATCAGGATTTAAATATTGAAAAATCACAAGCCAGCAAAAAAAAAAAACCAGCAAAAAAAAAAAACGGGCCGAAAAGCACGAAAAAACAGGAAGGAAATGAATATGGACGGGAAATTACTTATTAATTGAGTAGGAAAAATGACATACGAAATGTGAGGAACAGACAAAACAAAAAAAGAAGTAAAAAACTGAAAAATGTCATAACAAAAATCAGGCATTAAAGGACAGATGGTAACGTATAATATAATAATAAGAATTCGCGCTTGTGCACATTTTACATGTCCGTATGTATGTATGTATGTATGTATGTACTGGGAGGCATGCAAGTTAGGCCTCCAGCGAATATCCGATTCGGCAGCCGAAGATTTGACTCGACTGATGGTAGGTTTCCTTTTAATGCCTTCTTTGCA